ACTTTGTTAAATCTCCATGAAAATATGGTAAAACAAAATGAGACGATCAACTTTGTATAGAAATAAAATAAAACCAATAAATCAATATGAAGTTCACAGGAAATTAACATGATGAATAATTTGTATAGTACACGATACTCACGTGGATTCTAAAATTCAAACTTATACTTATCATCATGTTCTGAAAATTGAATAACATATTTTCGGCAAGATTTTTTTAAATAATTTTAGACATGTTTTATTTATAAAATAGTTTAGAAAGATTTTAGGTGACTTCACATCTTCAATAATGATATATAAAATTTTAGATACTTTACATATGTTATATAATATTTTAGGTGTTTTTAATATTTTAAACATACATTTTTTATGTTATTTTATACAAGATAAATTTATATTGTTTACAACTGATATACGATAAATTATATCACATATTAACCATATTAACTCCATATCTTAATTACAATTATTAGTTAATATCTCTACATCATAATTACAATTATTAGTTAATATTGTTTGCCCTCATATTTAATTTATAATTATTAATTAATATTATTTACCCGTGCATCGCACGGGCTACACACTAGTTTTATTCTAAATTATGGAAGACACAACAAGCAACTTGTTGGTTTTATTTTGATAATTTGATGTATTAAATAGTTACTAAATATATACATTGATATATTTATCCATCACATTGCGTTGCCCTCTTAAACTTGTTAATTTCCAATATATATAGATTCACTTGGCCAAATAAGTAGGGGCATGATTCATACATATAAAATAAATAAGAATGATTTTAGATAGATAAATATGTTTTTTTTCAGCATTTGCATTTGTACTTAATTCAAAATTAGTCCCACAGGTATAGGGAGTGACAATTTTGATCCCGACGGAATGCAGAAAATATGAATAGTCCCACAACTTTTAAAAAATGATCAAAAGTAGGACTTTTTCGCCGGATTTATTATTTCCGGCCCAAAACGCCACATGGCGCACACGTAGCTTATTTTTTTACACGCTGGCATCCGACGTGGATAGGAAAAAATTCAAAACTAGTCCCACAAGTATAGGGAGTTGACATTTTTGGTCCCGATGGAATGCAAAAATTCAAAATTAGTCCCACAACTTGTAAAAAAATATGAACACGTCAGATGCCAGCGTGTAAAAAAATAAGTCACGTGTGCGCCACGTGGCGTTCCGGGTCGGAAAGAGTAAATCTGGGAAAAAGTCCTACTTTTGATCATTTTTTAAAAGCTGTGGGACTATTCATATTTTCTGCATTCCGTCGGGACCAAAATTGTCACCCCCTATACCTGTGGGACTAGTTTTGAAATTTTCCCTATACTTTTAAATTAAAACATCGTACATTAAAAATTCAACACGACAAGAAAATGATGAAATTCCAACGGAAATGTAATTCAATAGAATTCCAATGACAATTCAAATAGATATTTTAATGCTATTATTTCCGTTGGATTTTTTTTAATGGATTCCAACGGAAATTCCAACAAAAATATTGCGTTGGAATGAGTTTTCCATTGGAATTTCCGTTGGATTTTGATGATTCCAACGATAGATTTTCCAACGGGTGGAAATAAAAATTCTAACGGAAATTACATATTCCAACGGAAATTCCTACGGTAAAAGCCGTTGGAAATATAGTCGTTGGAATTATCAAATTCCATCTGAAATTTCAATGAAAAACACATTCCAACGGAATATTTTCATTGGAGTTTTGTTCGAATCATTCCAACGGAGGCTATACCATTACAATATTTGTTGGAATTACCATTGGAATATATTACTATATGATTTTCTGTTGGAATATAACAATTTTTTTGTAGTGCAATATAAACATAATATTTCATAGCGTAAGTATGCATTAATATAATACAGCTTTAGAGTTAACTTGTCTAACGGTTAAACGGTGAAGAATCAATGTCTAAAATTATCCTCAACTAAAGGTATTATTAAAGTGGAAAATAGGTGTTTTTATTTGTCATAAATAGGCTAAACCTCCAAATGGTGCTGATATTAAGATATGATGAACCCTATTCAATTCACCTTGTTCACCTAATTCTCTTCCCTTCACATTATATTTTTCGGAGAACAACCTGAGAAAACACTCTACTGGTGCCTGCCCTCTGTAAATATTAATAGTGCCAGATAATATGCATAAGAATATTTCCCTTTTTATTAATTAATCCTCTTTTCTTTTTTCCTTAAAAAGTAAAATTGTTTTGGAGTTTTTAAGAGCTCCCAGTTGAAGATCCCCAGAAGGGCACAAAAACTTTGGCTTATAATCACTACAAAAAAATTTGATAATTGGAAATCAAAGTATACAAAACAGAAAAATTCTCTTTCACGTATTCTTTGACAGCTTTGGCTCCTATCTTCATGCATGAATTATTGTTTTCATGAATAATAATAATAATAATAATAATAATAATAATAATAATAAGGATGATGAGTTAAGAGAACTCTTTAAATTTTAAGTTTAATTCTCATGAAACGAGCCGAATACGAACTTCATATACACGAGCTCGAGCCTTCATCGAGCCGAACTTAGCTAAATGAGCGGATAAATAACGACTCGAACTCGAGCCTCAATTAGCTGAGAGAAGCTAAATTTTAAAAAATCACGTAAAAGTAACTAACAAAGCTCGACTCATTAATTGAACGAGCTTTAAACGATATTATGCAAAATTCTTTTATAGTTAACTAAACGACCTTGATCTCAGCTCGTTTGAACTCGAGCCCAGCCCACGAAGAAGGAATCTTTTTCATGAAACATCCTATTGCTTTCACTACTGGGTATATTAATTATTTAATTTATTAACCTGTGGGTATATATATGCACTAGATGAGTTCTCTAAAACATTTGAAAAAAAAAAATGGCAAAGATGGACTTCAAAGTAAATAAAAAAATAAATTGAAGACAACAAAATTTGAACCACCACACAATTTTTCAATTGAGCAGCATAAAATTTGACCTTGCAGAGAGTGGAGAATTAATTGGTCAAACACCACACACCAGTCAATTGTCATCAGTGCACAAAACTCCCTCCCAAGACAAAGGGGTAAAATAGACACTCAACTCTCCATTTATTTAAAAAATAAAAAGAAAAAAAAAACCCCAAAAACAGAAATTTTAAAATTACCCTTTCACCAACCTTCATGTAACTTTCCCCAATTGCCCCTGTTCGTGGACTCCAGTAAACGAAACCCTACCAAAGCCCAAATGCCCAACCTCACTCAGCTCCAACCAAACGTCCTCCGCCCTAATTTCATCCCCAAAATCCCCATCCACCGCACCACCTCCGATCGCCGCCGCTCCGATGTACGGCGCAGTACTCCCCAACGCCGCCGCCGCCTTCCCCGAATTCCCCTCCAGCACCCTCCGCCGCCGTCTCCCACCCCTCCGCCCGGCGATGCACCTCCGCGCCACCGCCCATGGCAGCTTAAGGAAGGCCAGCGCCAGGATGCTCACCACCCCGCACGGGCAGCAGCACAGCGCCACGCAGTCGGCGATAACCCCCGCCGTGCACGACCCGCACGACCTCCCCGTGCACGACGCCAGATCTCCGCCGCTGTACTCCTCCGCCTCTGCGCGGCGGCGTCGGATCCCGACGGCGGTGCATGAGGACGAGGAAGCCGGCGGCGCGCTCCGATTCTCCATACCGATCTCTTAATTCCGCCGCTGGATCCAATTTTCAGCTTTCCCCCAAATTCAAATCGCTACGAAAATTTATCCGATCTGCGTGAAAAATGTGCTAGTATGAAATAAATCGAGGAGGCTGTGTGTTTATAGAGAGAGAATTTGGGGAAATTCGTGCGGTGTTGTTAAGTATTTGGTTTTAACGTACAAAAAATGTGGTGTTTTCTCCATGCAATTTATTCTGGTAATTCCAAAAGAGGTGCAGAGGTCCATGTATTTAGTGTCGCGAGGTGTTGAAAGTTTTGCTGAAAAAAAGGAGGTGGGGAAGGAGGGGCGAGTGCTCAAGCGCTCCCGGAGCGCGTGTTCGTACGCGCAGGGTAATTTTCACCGTTCTACGGACTGAGGAGACCGGTACAGGCTGAGGCACTCAGCTGGCAGTCCCCTTTTAACTTTTTAATTAGCTCCCAATTACATGTATAGAAGCTCGATGTTATTTCAATGGCAATAAAATATATAATGAAAATAAAAATTTTATTATATGGTAATATTCCATCTTATGCTTCCCGTGGACTGTGGACTGTAAGTCACGTGTAGGTACAAATATCGCACTTGTCATATAAAAAAATGGTAACGTTGATGAATTAAAGATGTATACATTGAACATTACTGATTTTTTTTTATAAATTTATTATTCTTTTAAGTATACTGTCACTTTAATAAGTTCGCCATGATCATATCAGCATGTGATTAATTAGTGCAGCAATATTATTAGTATTGTCACTTAATAATGGTGAATATTTATTATTATTTAATGAGTAATGTTATTTTAACGTAATATTTTAACATGTGTAATATTGATTTAGGTGTCATATTCTTCTTATGTGTGTAGGATG